AGGCGAGTGGGCMGGGTTCTTGGCCAATGCAGGGATTGCGGGCATGCTGCGCTAATGCATGTGTGTTGCGCTGTGCAAGAGCTGCGCTGCGCTAGGGTGAAGCAGGCTAGCGCTAGGCGGTAGGGCGCTGCCTCCATGCAAGGCACTGGCGGCCATAGCCGTTCCACATGAGGGTGCAGGAGAGGTGAAGGGTGAAGGTGGTCTTCGGAGGTGAAGGGTGCTATGTGGGTACAAGGGAGAGTGTGGATGAAGAGGACACGTACCTGGTGGAGGTGGAGGTCGACATTGGTGTTGACATCATCACTCGCTGGTAGTCAAGTTGTCTGGTTGCTTTCATTGCTGTAGTTGTAGGCTAGGCTGTAGAGTAGATAGGGCGCCTGGCGCCATTCACAAGAGAGAGCTACATTTGGGTTCTGCTGTTGGTGTTGCCCTGTTGGGCATGGACATTGACTCACAATTCTTCTGTATCATTCTCAATTGGATGGTTACTCGGTTCCATTGTGCTATCTGCTTTGGCTTTGACTACTTGGACTTCAGTGTGATTTTGCATTCTGGATTTTTGTGCTTCATCCATATTCATGTTCCTTGCAATTTGGTATCGGAGCTGGTTTGATCGCCACTTACCTCAGGCACGCTGGCGTTATACAGACTTGGTGCGTTGACGATGCTTCTTCGCAGTTAGTACTTGTGACGCCAGGCCATATATAGGCGCACGCCCTGGGTAGAGAGGGGGGCTAAGACGGCAGTGTATGCCGTGGTGACATGCGGAATGTATGATTGGTGATGAGAGCATGTTGATGTGGCATTCGGCTGAGGTGACACTGCATTGCGTTGCGAGTGGTACCGAGGTCAAGACCGGTCATAAAATGCACACTCAGCTCAATTGGTGAGAAATCTGTGGTTGAGGGCAGCTATCTCCACGTTGTTCCCTTACCTTATCTACTCTCTCAATCTCTTCTTAATGTGAGGAAGTGAGTCCAACTTGAGAGTCCTCTCTTTTGGTGAGGTGTCGTGAGCGCGCTACCTTGAGGGACGACAATCTTCCCGGAAGCATCTGGAAGGAGAAAGGGCGGTGCCTCTGAAGGGCCCTGGTCGAAGCACTGGGTCACGGTCACCATGCCACTCCAATGAGCGCGCTACCTTGAGAGACGACAATCTTCCCGGAAGCATCTGGAAGGAGAAAGGGCGGTGCCTCTGAAGGGCCCTGGTCGAAGCACTGGGTCACGGTCACCATGCCAACCCAATGGGAGTAGGTCACGCATGCGATGGCTGCTGTCCATTTTGGCACTTGCTGCACTAAATAGAAGTCCTGCCGGGTGTGCCAACCCATGACAGACGCTTACCAGACCGTCTATAAACATTTCTGGTTGGGAGTTCATTGTGAATCTGGCTGTGATTGTCGTCCTGACTATGACGTTAAATAATTCCTGCAGAGATGGGGGCGCTCTATAAATTCCTCCTGATCAGCCAGATCACATGGACAGGAAGGCTCGTCGCCGTACGAGGGTAAATAAGAGTGGTTGGGCTGGCTTGCTCGGTAACGACTTGGGCACAGGGGTGGGCTGATACACACACGAAGACACTGCCTGCTCAATGATGTTGTTCGGTATGTTGAGGGGAGGGTAGGTTCTAATTGGTGCTCAACTGAATACACAACCATACCCACTCATCATACATCTGCTACATTGTTTTTTTGTACTTTTGATTAGTTGGTGGACGGACTGCTAACCTCACAGACAGATTAGATTAGGACTTTGTATGCTACCATAGCCAGTTCTGTCTAATACTGCTGTAAGTGAACCAATCAGAGTACATCTAGACTATGTAGACAATCTTTGTGAATGTTGTAGTCATGCCACTTGATCGGTACAGTAGGGGACTTGCCGGACACAACTATTGTTAGAAAATTAGGTGTCGGTCAGATACATGTTGTGGTAGGATTCCACTAGGGGATTGTAGTGCAGACACTATTTGCCTAACTAATGAGTGGGTCAGATCCTGTTGATGATAGAGCTGACAATAGGAGGCTAACACGTGTAGAGGCACTAACGGTACCGCACGTGTTCCAGGCCCTACAACTGGGAGACGAAAGACGGCTTATAGCCAAACGTAGAGCCCGTGCTCTAGCGGCAGGACTACAGGAAGCAAACATAGTAGCAAAAGAGTAGGCAACAGCAACCAGAGCAGCAGCAATGGCTAACGGCGCAAGCTCTGCTGCGTCATTGTCTGCGTCCTCGTCAGGGACTCGTGGGACTCATTTGGGAATGCCACTAAGTTCCACAAGTTCCACGGGCACTTCCGGTTCAACGGGTTCTAGACAGTCTTCTAGTCAAATGGCGGGCTCGCAGTTCAGCCAGTTAACTGGCACACAACCAAGTAGTACGTCTGCAACAGTCGCACAGACTGTTGCATCTTCTTCTTCGAGTTCAGCGGTGGGAGCTGCACCACCGCAACAACCTGTTCCTCAACAGGGATAGCAGCAAGGTCAATGGTACCCCAAGACCCCAATGAAACCGCCTCTTGCCTTCTCAGACGAGAGGAAGGACGAAGAACTCAGCACATGGTTGAGGACAGTCCCGGTTTGGGTAAAGGCCAAGAGGACCTTGCTAGAGGACGAAGTGGTTACCGTTGCATCTTACCTAGAGGGTAAGGCAGCCAAGTGGCTAGATGGGGTAGTTGTAAAGGCCGGGTATGGGCGACGCATGGTGGACTGGGCTAAGTCTCTGACGTTAGACCAGTTCATGGAAATGGTAGAAGCTCAATGGCATAATCCGCAGGAGGCACAAAGAGCCACTGATGAGATTAACAAGCTGGACCAACGAAAGTTCAAGTCTGCCAAAGAGCTTACGACTACTGTTGAGAGCCTGATCCTCGTCCCAGGCATCAACTATAGTGACCAGTTCCAGTTAACTACGTTTGTTAGATGTTTACCAGAGAACATCAGGAACTTACTGGTCAGCGAGGCACGCACTGAGTACCATTCGTTTGAGACATTATTTAGGAAATCCTTAGATTTGGAGGCCACGCTAGGCAATGCTCAACCAACCTCTCAGATTGACACGAGGAAGAAGAAGAGTCCTCAGGAGTGGAAGAAGAAGGGGGCTAAGTTGATGATGGTTGAGTCCGATGGGACTCAAACAGAGATCGACGAGCTCACTGACCTGATGGACTATACAGAGTTTGACAGCGAGGAGGTAGTTGAGGGTAGCACCCTCGCCGCGGTAGTCAAGACTAAGGCAAGTGGCCGAGAGAAGGGCCAACCTAGGAGTCAAGGAAAGGCCGCCTCCAATCAGACCAAGCAGGCTGAATGGGTGAAGGCAGGTCTTGACCAAGACGTGTGGCGTGACCGCCGAGTGCGTGGCGCTTGTATCAATTGCGGGGAATACGAACACTCGCAATACAAATGTCAGAACGCAAACGTTACGCAAAAGACACCTCCAAAGATGAGGGCATCTTATTCCTAGGTTTCAAGCTCGGGAAACGTGTGAGGCCAGTAGAGGTTTTAGCGGCTTCTACTCAAGATGACGTGGGCTTGATACCCTCCCCACTTCATGACAAGGCCAAAGCTAATGACTCCTTAGCCACCCCGCAGACACATCTAGACCAAACTATGTTCTGTACGTTAGATGTGTCTGAGGCCTTAGAAGACTTAGAAGACTTAGAAGGTGAGTGGTCAAACAAGGACCCTCGCGAGTCTTGGGTGACACTGAAGAAAGGTCCTAGAGGGGAACATTTCGTGGTGGAAGTTGATGTAGGAAGCCGCAAATGTGGTGCCTTTATAGACATCGGATCCACGCGGAATTACATAAGTCGCGACTGTTTGGAAAGGCTGCACCTTCAGGATCGGGTACGGCACCTTAGTAGACCTGTAGCATCTACTTTGGCCAACAAGGAGCGCATGATAGTAATAGACTATATCAAGGACGTAGTATGTACCTTCTCCTATGGAGGAGGCGAACTTAACCATAAGATCTCGTTCTTGGTTAGCGACGACTTACCATTCGACATGTATTTAGGCATGTACTACCTTGAAGTTGCTAAGCCCCAGTTTGACTGGAATAAGAAGGTGCTCAAGCATAAGTTGCCCGATGGCCGAACCGTCAGATTGACTAAGTTCAAGGCCAGTAGCATTATAGATACCTATGGCTGCTTGTGCGCATCAACGTTCTACAATTATTACAAGCAAAACGAAGAGGAGGGTATGTACCTTGTGTATGTCTCTGAGAAAGGAGAGGTCGTTAAAACACCCCAGAGATAAAACGCGTCGTTGCTAAGTTCCATGATCTGTTCGAGGAGCCCACAGGAGCTGTTGAAAGGGAAGTCGTCCACGCTATAGAAATCATTCCAGGGAGTAAGACCCCAAAGGGAAGGATCTATAGGATGACCCCCGCCGAGTTAGATGAACTTCGGCGACAACTTAAGGAGCTGACAGAGAATGGATGGATCCGGCCTAGTACTTCCCCTTATGGATCACACGTTCTATTCGTACCAAAGAAGGGGGGTACTTTGAGGATGTGCATTGACTATAGAGGCCTCAATGCCATCACGGTGAAAAACGCAGAGCCTCTACCTCGCATAGACGACCTATTGGATAGGGTGCAGGGATGCAAGTACTACACAAAGATAAACTTGAAATCTGGATATCATCAGATCGCTATAAGACCTGAGGACCAACACAAGACAACTTTTCAGACGAGTTATGGTCTGTATGAGTTTATAGTAATGCCCTTTGGTCTTTGCAATGCACCGGGAACATTCCACCACGCTATGAATCGGATCTTTCATGACCATTTAGATAAGTTTGTTGTGGTCTATCTAGACGACATTCTGATCTTTAGTAAGCCTGCCGAGGAGCATGCACGGCATGTTGAGACGGTACTTTCACTCCTTCGACAGCGCAAGTATAAGGTCAACTTAGAGAAGTGTGAGTTCGGTCGCACTAAGATACTATACTTGGGTCATGAAGTATCCACGAAAGGGATTACGCCGGAAGACGCGAAGGTGGCTAGTATTCGAGACTGACCACGACCTCAGACAATCACTGAGGTCAGATCATTCTTAGGAATGTGCGGCTACTATAGAAACTTCGTTACGAACTATTCTACTGTCGCCTCTCCTTTGACTGATCTAACTCGACTTGACACGCTGTGGGACTGGAGTGATGAGTGCGAGGGTGTTTTCAAGAGTTTGAAGCATGCACTCATGAATCATGAGGTCCTCATGGTTCCCGATCCGCAGAAGCCATTCATAGTGACCACTGACGCAAGCCAATACGGCATTGGCGCAGTGCTGGCTCAACAGGATGGGAAAAAGTTGAGACCGATTGTGTATATGAGCAAGAAGATGCCATCAAAGAAGTTGGCAAAGTCCACCTATGAAAGGGAACTCTATGCTCTATATAAAACACTTGTCCATTGGAAACACTTCCTAGTGGGAAGGTTCTTCTACTTGAGTACTGATCATCAGACCCTCAAATGGATCAAGACTCAACCGGCTCTTTCTTATGCACTCAAGCGATGGATTGAGGTCATAGACCAATATGACTTCAAGCTTGAGTATCTGAAGGGAGAGTATAATAAGGTTGCTGATGCGCTATCACGTAGAGCAGACTACCTAGGTGCGCTAGTTTCTGACTTTGGCGTATCTGATGAAGTAACTCAATCGTTGGTGGGAGCCCATCAGGAAGACCCTGTCACGATGGACATCATTCGCAAACTTCAGGCAAAAGACAAGGCCACGGAAAGCGAGTTTGTGATGGTGGACGGGCTCCTCTATCTTGATAAGGTCGGAATAAAAAGATTAGTAGTTCCATCTAGTGAACCTTTGCGTAGTTTGTTCTTAGGAGAATGCCATGACACAACGGGACGCTTCGGCTACAAGAAGACGAGTGCTAACTTAGTACAACGATTTTGGTGGCCAAGAATGTTCGATGACGCAAAGAAGTACGTAGAGACCTGTCAGGTCTGTCAGCGGGACAAACCGCGAACTCAAGCACCGCTTGGGTTATTGAAGCCTTTGCCTATTCCTGCTGGTCTAGGACAGAGTGTTTCCATGGATTTCATGGACACCCTGGTGACTAGTAAGAGTGGCAAGAGGCACATCTTCGTCATCATCGATAGATTCACCAAGTACGCTAGACTAGTGGCTATGCCAGAGACCGCAAGAACTGACTATGTCATCAAGTTGTTCAAAGACAACTGGGTGCGTGACTTTGGTTTACCAAAGTCAATCGTTAGTGACCGAGATGTTCGATTCACAAGTGAGCTGTGGAAGAAGACTGCAAAACGGATGGGCAGTCAACTTCAAATGACTTCAGGGAATCATCCCGAAGCCAACGGACAAGCCGAACAAATGAACAGAGTTGTACAACACTTGCTGAGGCATTACATCAAGCCCATCCAAGATGATTGGGATGAGCAGTTGCCTCTCATCGCCAGCCTGTACAACAATGCTATCCATAGCAGTACCGACGTTAGTCCTAATCAGCTGCAGAAGACCATTTTCACCCTTCACCTCTCCTGCACCCTCATGCGGCCCGGCTATGGCCGCCAATGCCTTGCATGCAGGCAGCGCCCTACCGCCTAGCGTTAACCCCAGCGCAACGCAGCTCTTGCACAACGCAACACACATGCATTAGCGCAGCGTGCCCGCAATGCCTGCATTGGCCAAGAACCCTGCCCACTCGCCCTGCTTGCCTATATGCCAGTGCTGCGTGTGGGCGGCCTCCCTTCAGCCTGCGACTGGGCCCCAGTGGCTGAAGCCAACCCGATACAGTTGAGGCCCGGGGCAATGCAGTTGCGCCTCTTTCATCAAGGCCTGCGACCAGATTCAGACAGTAGGCCGATTTCCCTTTGGCATTTTCGGCCTCTATCCCCAGCATGCATTGCCGGCCTTACGTTCAAGTACCCAGGGCCTAACTAAGATCCAAGACCAACAATATTCCGAGCTACCACCAACTAGTCCTCGCTTCAACTTTGGGCCCTTAGGATCACCTTTTCAATTTCTTGTGCGGCACAGTTTCGTATTTTTCCCTCTTTTGTTTTTTTCCATTTTGAGCTTCCAAGTCATTCCTGAGTTGGCCGTTTGAGCTTGGCGCACAAAAAACGGCCATATGCTCTCCTCCATGAGATCTGATATCAGATCCATGGCCCAAAAAAAAAACGGCCAACCCCTTTTTGTTTTTTCTCTCAATTTTACATTTTTTAATTCAAATATTGATGAGATGATGCCCCAGGGGCCTTATCTCTCTGCAATCTGGATTGCCCTCCACCAAATATGGAGAGATGAGGTTACAATAGGGACCTGCCAATCCCTATTGTGTCAGTCCCAACTGACCGACACATCCTCCTCCACCCTTTTCTCCCCTTTTGTCTCATTCTCCCTCCTTTTTCATCCATTTTTTTTTCTTTTTCTTTTATTTCTGTTTTGACAAGTGTCAAGCGGATGTGGACTCTCTTTCTAGGCCTTAGATCCTCATTCATGGGCAGATTCACACCTAGCAGTTGGCCATTACATCTCGGATTACAATAATGAAGACCCCATACTTATGGGGCTCCCTTTTGCTTTCGTTTTCGCAATTTTTAGCCCCCCTTTGCTCCGATTTTCTTAGTAGCTTATTTTCTGCGTAGAGCCCCTTGGGGCTCTATTCTCTTATGCCTTGCTAGTCGGACTGCTAGGCAGTCTGTTCCTCACCCGTTTCTTCTCATTTTTGTCTCCTAGCACCTTCTCCCTTGGCCTATTTAATAGTGGCTAATATTTTCAATCGTCAAGATCTTAATCTTGACGGTGTCACTTGTTTTGCACGTTTATTCCTCTTGTTGGCTTATAGTTCTCTTGGGACAACTCCAACCCCCCCCACTCTCCCCATGCTAGTCCTATTTCCTAGTCCCTACGGTGGTCCTGCCCAGCGCATGTCCCAATTTTCAACTATTTTTATTTGAGTTCATCTAGTGTCAGACATCGTTTTCGATAACGTCACATTGTTTTTTGGGACTTCCTTGTTCCCGACAGTCCCAACCTCAAGTGCCGTGAATATTTTTGGTCGCGAGATCCACCATCTTGCGGTTACCATTTACCGTCTCCCTTTGCCCAAGCTCAAGAGACTTTTTTCTAGTGTCTTGGGTATGCCAAGGCCCTTTTTCTCTTGGCCTAGGCACCCCCATGCAGTCTGTTATTTCTCGGACTGACATAATGGTTTTTTCCCTAGCCTCATAACCCCAAAACTTGTCCCAAACTGAAACAAAAAGAAACGACAAATTTTAAACTGTATCCGGGCTCAATGTCGGCTCCGGGCGCACCTAAAATATGTGTTTTCCTCCCCTCTTGCAATCCGTTGTATCACGGTTGCATGAGGCCGTGATTTTCTTTGATTTTCTCTGCAAAATTTAAAGACAATCAATGTACTTTGCAACTGGCATATCCCAGGATGTATCTGGTCACGGATGTAACTTCACAAGTGACCGTTTTTTACCTTTAGTGTTCTTTTTCTTTTTCTTTTCTTTTCTTTTTCCTCCATTTCCGAACGGTAGGGACCTGCCAGTCCCGACTTGTGCCTGTCCCTACTGACGGCCTAATCACTCACTCCCTCTCACTCCTCTTGTCTTATTCTCCCACCTTTTTCTCTCCTTTTTTCTTTTCTTTTTTTATTTTTTTCCTACATGCCAAGTGTCAACTAGCTATTGAGGCTTTTTCTAGGCTCTTCCTCTTAGTTTTAACCCTTCCTATGCCCAAGGTGCAGTCCGTTTTTTCTCGGACTGCAGCTGTGGCTCGCCAACATCCATGAGATCCTCATTTTGCCTTTTTTTTCTCCAAACCGTAACCCCTCCTAATTCGATTTTCTCCCGAAGGCCTATGTTTCCCATAGAGCATCTCTAGGCTCCATTTTTTTCATGGTGGCTGATCCAAGATATTTCGGATTGCTGCTATGCATCTCTCCTCAATTTTCTTTGCTTTCCTTTTTTCTTTTGGTCTTCCCGTTTGCTTTTATTTGTGGTGCTAATATTTTTGGTCGTTCAGATCTTCATCTCGACGGCGCACCTTGCTTTGAATATTTCTCTCTCATGGTTCTTCCCAACTTTTTCTTGGGACATCACAAGTCCCCTCTACTTGTCATGTGCTAGTCCCCAACACTTGTCCCGCCGGTGGTTCCACAGACACTTGTCCCGTCGGTGGTCCCACTGACACTTATCTGAAAATACCATTATTTTTACTTAGCCCTATACAGTCCTCGACATCTTTCCTCGTGGTGTCCGGTCCCTCTCGGCGTTTCCTACCTCATGGCAGCCTCATTTTTCTGCTTTTTTCCATATCCCTCGCGCGTCGGTTTTTTTGGCCGCGACCTTTGCTGTTTCGACCACTCTTGATTGCCCTGAGTGGCCCCCATGCCAGGGTCCCTTCTTTTTCTAGCGTCTTGTGCCGTCAAGACCCTCTTTCTTATGACTCCGATATTCCCTCATGATGCGTCGCGACCCTTTGCCTAGTTTATGGTCCTTTGACCTTTCTCATGCAGACTTCTAGTGGCGTTCTTGGCCACATGCTACGTTCTCATGCGTTGACGCCCCGACACTTATTTTCTTGGCATCGTTGACCCCATCCATCCTGCGACACTCAGCCTAGGGCAATGTTTTTTTTGTAAGTCCTCATTCTTTTGAGAAAGGAGAGCCGCGTTTACTATTTTCTCGTGACCCTCTGTTGCTTGTTATTCCACTAATCCATTCTTGGCTCAGTGGTTCCGGCGGCCCAGGGCATTCTCTAGGCCCCTATGCGCCGATGCTCATGCCTTAGTCCTCCATCTTTTCTATTTCTCTTGCCCCCCGTTTTCTCTGTCGTGCACAATTTTGCCGTATACCATGTCTCAAGGGTCGAGACTTGTTTCGGGACCCACAGATCCCGACACCGGTTTTCGGATCCTTGTCCGTATGGTTGCAAAATTGGGGGTGGTCCGATTTGTTCCTGGTCACCCCAGGTTAATGTTTTTCATCATGGGCTGTCGAGGAAAAATACTAGATGTTTTTTTATGAGTCGTGCCTGGCACCGGGACAGCTGTGGAAGGAGGCCGTCTCATTATAATAAAAGAAAATCATTCCATAAACATAATTGCAACCTCCCCTTAGGGCTTTTAAGTTTGAATTAACAATTTTTTTTTTTTTTTCACACAAGAGCGCCACTAAGTCTTTCCCAACGCGCCCATAGTTTCCTTGCAACAAATCTAGTACATTCCTGCAAAAACAGAGGACAACTTCAAAGAAAAACAAAAAACAAAGATTCATCTTCCAAAGAGAAAATAACTGCTGTCAGAACGGGTGCCTGCAACAAATCTGGGGACCTTTCCCGGTTTTCTCTCTGCTCACTGCTTGGTGGGCTGAAGTGTTTTACATAGTCTTTTTTGGTGTCCAGTGGTGAAAAACGAACAAGAATTCAACCCTGAATACATAGTATTTTTTTTATGTCCAGTGGTTAAAAGCCAACAACAATTCAGCCCTAGGTCAACGGAATGTCCATACCAACCGGGCCACGTCAGTCGCAACATCCATGAACGGCTGAAAGGAACACCCATACCCCGGACCCTCCTCCTATCAACACATTTATGCAGGTTTGTTTGTTTGAATGTTCTTTTCTTTTTTTCTTCTTCATCTTCTTCCTTTTTTTTTTTAATCCAGATATATATGGTCATACGGAGAGGACTCCGGACACTAGTCAACACTGGATCCTCCAATGCAGTTGTTGCGTCACTTGCTTCTTTGTGTGGCAGAAAAGCAGGTTGTCCAGCAGGAAGTGGTGGCAGAACCAATGGGCGGCCAAAACCGAATTCTGGATGCACTGCAGGCTCCACGCCCAATGATGAGACAACCTTAGTATTTTGTAGCTCCCCTTACGGTTGTGGGTCCCTCTGTGACGCCGTCGCCAGTAGGACCCTCTTTTCCCCCTATGTTTGGCATTACTCCTTCAGGTGGTTTAGCGACAGTTAGTGGTCCGGTCCGTAGTACTTCTCCCATACCATCAACGATGGTGGAAGCTACAATCCCATCGTCAGGAGAGGCTCAGGTTAGCATGCAACAACCTATCTCGGTGGCAATGCAGCAACTGCGGCAATCACCAGGGTCAATCCAACCTATGCAACGGATGCCCAAGATTCCCTTGCCGAATCCTAAAGCTTTCTCTGGCGAGAAGAAAAAGGATGAGGACCTAGACACCTGAGTGAGGACTATGGCAACCTATGTGAGGCACACATTCACAAGGCCAGAGTAGGAAGTTATAGTCGCTGCTTCCTTTTTAGAGGGCTCTGCAACACTATAGTTGAATGGTCTAGTGTAACAACAGGGCTATGGTCAGAACTTCGGTGTTTGGGCTCAAACCCAGACATTGGAGAACTTTGTACAGATTATGTACAATAGCTGGAATGACCCTGAAGGAGCTCAAAAGACCACTGACGCACTGTGCAGTCCGGTTCCAAACAGTACCGGACAATGTGTGAAGTCACTGATGTCGAAGAAGGTTTGATCATTGTGCCTGGTGTGCGATATCACCCTCAGGTACTCCTCACAACTTATCTGAGATGTCTGCCTACAGACGTGAAGAATAAGTTGGTGGACAAGACCTCCATCTTTGTG